GTTTGATTACAAGGAGGAAAACAACGCCTCTGCAGCCACAAAGAATACCAAAGAAGTTTATGGAAATGTTTTGAACGTTCATAAGTCACAACAATGGTTCAGAAAATTTCGTTCAGGTGACTTTAGCCTTAAAAACTTTGATGGCAGGGGCCGACGTGTTGGAATTGATATTGATGCTCTGAAGACGCTTGTTGAGTCTAACCCAAGGGAACACACTCGTGAAATGGCCATGAAATTGCATGTCTCTCATGAAACAATACATAAACATCTAAGGAATATGGGAAAACTCCATAAAGAAGGTGTTTGGGTGCTTCACAAACTCGTCGATGATCATTATTTCTGAAGTGTGAATGTTGCTTTGTCTCTTCTGGCGCACAATGTGCGTGAATCATTTTTGGAAAGAATTGTCACCGGTAATGAAAAATGGATTCTCTATGCGAATATGAAATGGCAAAATCAATGGCTCAGTTCTAGACCAAAAACACTTCCGACTCCAAACCCTGGACTCCGTCCGTAGAAAGTGATGCTTTGCTCTTGGTGGAACATCAGAGGAGTAATTCATTTCAAACTCTTCAATCCACAGCGAACTGTCAATGCAGAGATCTAAAGTCAGCAAGTGGAACATTTAAATCAAACCCTTCATCAGAAATGCCCTTCACTCGTCAATCAGAAAGGTGTTCTTCTCCACAACAATGACATCCACATGTGGCACGTTTAATGCAACACAAAATTATAGAGTTGGGTTGGAAAGTTCTCCCCCACCCACCATATTATCCAGATATGGCACCATCAGATTATCATCTTTATCATTTGCTGCAACACCATCTCAATGGGAAAATGCATGCAAATGTGGAAGGTGTTAAAGAGGACAAGTGATTTCTTTAATCAGAGCATTAACACCCTTATTGTGAGATGTAAAAGCATCATCAATAAGAATGGAATATTCCATATAATAAATGTTTTGTTTTGATATACAAGTTGTTCTGGTTTTTTCATTTAAAAAAAAATTTCTTGACAACCTAATATTTGTGAAATGTACAATTGTCTTTGTTTTTTCTCAATTCTATAATTATAAAGTTTCACCAAGTACTGACAGTTTCAAGTATCAATTGAGTAATTTTTAATTGGAGTACCATATTTACACATATTTACCGACATACTTATTAAAGAAAATAGCAAAATCTCCTACCACAGTACATAAATAAAACTCTTAAATTATATCACAAGTCTATACAGTAGTTTAAACACTTACTTGTCAAGTAGTATATATATATACACATACACACAATGAATGAAAATGTGCAACCGAAAAAAAAATTATACTTAAAAATATAACCATTGTTAAAATCAAATCATAGTAATTACCTTTATAATAATGCTACCCTCATCATAGCCTAAAGCAACATTGTTGGAACCTTGAAGACAAGAAATGGTCCAGACTCTTTCTAATCCATAGTTCAGCGTGCTCTCCAAGCGATAGGTGTTTGCATGCCAGATACGGACAGTACCTAAATATGATAAGCTTGATGTTTTCATTTTAAATTGAAAAGTCAACACACATGTATAACATCTTATGATCAATACAGTACAAACAAATGATGGTTAACCTTTTAATCAGCAGTGGTCACTAACAAAAATACTGAAAGATTTTCTTGACAATAATGTCATAACTGTTTCTGTTCAACAAAGTAAACAGCTTTTGAGTTTCACATAAATACAACAAATTTTACAACTACATATAAAAATGTTATAAAATTTGTATACTTTGAAGAATTTGACTAAGATTATTATATTTTTACAGCGGAAGGCCCATTTTTAGTTTTAAAACTTATTTTTACATCATGTTTATACCAAATGTATGCATGCTGCTAGGAACAATATGCTGGTCAATGTCAAAAGAAGTTTTGTTTCTATACACAAAAATGTTTACTGATTGGAGGAACAATACGATTCTTCACTACTTTTAATGCAACTGCCACTAAGAAAAATTTTCAGTAAACTTTTTATTGATTGAAAATATTTGTATTTGTTAATGGTTTTATGGATGTGTGTGTGTTTCATAATAAATCTGTAAAGATGATTAGTGACTCAGTGTTCAAATACATCAGTATGTGATGATATGGCATATCCAGCAACATTTAAATCATTGTTTTCAATACCAACACTTCATAAAGAATTTTTGCACATCCCTGAATATTCAAAACAAATCATATTTTCAGTCTATAAAAAACATCTTTATTCAATTCTCTTCACCTATGTCAACGCACGCTCTGTCTTGGTACTGTATATAAACACCTCATTCAGAAAATGTTATCACTTTTTCAAGAGTGACTCAATCTCAGTCTCTAACACTGGCACTTAGTGGGGACTCAGTCTCTAACAGTGGCACTTAGTGGGGACTCAGTCTCTAACACTGGCACTTAGTGGGGAGGAAGAGTGGGAGAGTGTCAGTGGAGGTATTACTGGAAATACATTTTCAATTTAGGAAAATGTTAACTTCCAAAACATACTTACCCCCATTCACACTTACAGCTAGAATCCCACATTGATTAGGTGGAAGGGACTGTGAGGACATTATCCATACAGAAAGTGTCTGCATAGATCATGGGTGTGTCAATAGAAGATTGGCACACTAGTGGGGGAACCGCACCACATCCAGAACAGGTAAGCTCTTCACCTGGAACTTAATTCATGTATTGTGGGTGGAATTTTACTATTGGCCAGGCTCCAACCCGATAGCTGAGGTTCCACTGCTAAGAGTTGGAATTATAGGGCCATATGCAACACTGAAGTGGACAAACCTTCTCCTCAACCTGAAGAAGTCCAAAAAGCAACACCCTAGGCTTGGAATGATGGGATCGTGTATGCCTTACTCAAACTGATGAAACAGTGCTCATCCGGTGTGGAATTATGAACACTCATCCACACTCCCCAATGGCAAGGGAACTTCCACTTGCCCCCAGAATTATGGGGAGGATGTTGAATGGGATGGGACCATTTTGCATTCAGAATTATGAGGAGACAATGGACCCTCTACCATGATAAATGTACTGAACCAATATTGATCAAAAAGAAGGCCCACATTCCACCCAACCGGATTGCCAAGTGTCAAATCTTAACTGGTATTATGAGTAGGCTCCTGCGTAGGCTGGTGCCACTCCTACCAACATCTGGATAAAACATCCAGGGACCTGCGCAGGAGAGGCCCACAACTTTGCCCTCTTCTCCAAGAGTGGAGGAATTCACTCTAACACTGGAGGAAAAGCCTCTGTCCACCACCCCAGTGACTGAAAACTGGGTGTGGTAAGGACTCCCTAGCTCCACCACTAGAATCTGGAGGGTAATGCGCATTGGGGGAGTCCTGAGGAACAGTGCAATAGATGAACAGAGTTCCCTAAATTTTTAAAAGCAAACCAATCACGATTTATTCAATCCAATGATCAACAGAGATGGGCAGGGTCCCCTTATGCTTTACTCATGATAGTCCATGAGCAGCAGTCCAGCATAGTACAGAATTACCACACGGTAAGCTTCTAGGTGGTCTTACGGAACACCTCATTTCTACAGTTTTTTGCAACCTAGATAAAGTATATTGAATTAGTGTTTTCTTGTGTGGAAATGGTTTCATAAAAGCACACCTGTGAAAATGAGGTAGAGGACCCTGAAAGGTAGCAACAAAAATATTCACCAGTCTGTATAATCTAGCGGAAGTGGTTAAGATTGTTACAGTGGGTAGGCAAAAAAATCGGCAGATGAAGATATTGCCAGATCATGCAAATAATGTGAGATAAAAGTATTGGGGGAAGTCCATATACTAGTCTACACAATGTTCTCCAACGGACAATTCAATCGGGCTGCTAAGAACATAGAAATGTGACAAATCTGATTAGATGTGACTCGCAGAAGATCCCTTGCCTTCAATTAAAGCCCAGAATAAAAATCATTGTACAACATCTCTAAAGGCATTTGCATGGGCAACAAAACCTTCAAGCCCCTCATTGAACATGACAACAATTGAAATCTGATTGGTCATAGAAGTGAGAAATAATGATAAGATGAATCAGTGAAAAGGATTTATACCCTTCCCTGTCTGAAAGTGTGTAAAAAGAAATGGTATGAGGGAGTAGGTAGAATGTTATAGCAGTTTGTGGAAAAAGAGCACAAACCACCCCAACTGACAATGTCTGTAGAGCAGCAGCAGCAACAGAAAATAAACTTTCAGGAAATGGTGATACATGGCATATGAGAATCAGGTCACAAACAAGTGTTGAGAAAGGGCATATAATGTAACCTTAATATACCAGTTAGGTAACTGGAATGTTCATTTGAGACAAAGGACCCAAAGCAACTTAAGGAATCCAGAAAGTATTGAGGACACAAAGAATATTTTGTCACAAGTGTCGATCTGCAATTCATCAGGCTGCCTTATACAGGGTGATTGTGGAAAATGCAAAAACCTTTGCCAAAGAGCCAGGTCAAAAACAAGTTATGGCTGGCACTTCTGAATGAAGTGGGTTCAACCTCCTCTCAATACATCATTGCTGATATGTGTGTCATTTCCATTGAGAAATGTCCATCACAGAACTAATCAAAGACTGAGACAGAAATTAAACCCTCATGCCATGTGAAAGAGTGTATAACATCTATGTTTGAAAATTGAGCTTCTTGTTAGCCAGAAAGTATTGGGGACACAAAGAATATGGCCTAAGAAAAAGTGGAAGAGATGGACACTGCTGAAGGTACCACAGAAGGAGAAACCAGGGTGTAGTTGCCAATCTGGTGCTATCAACAGGAACTGACAATGGGTTGGAATAAATCATAGTTAGTACCTTGGGTTACATATGAATTGAAGGGAAGGCCTGGAGTTGTAATCCTGTCCCATTCTGACAGAATGCATCCAGTGCCAAAGCTCGAAGATGAGGTACTGAAGATAAAGTTGCTAGTAGTTGGGTGTTCCAATGAGAGGTCAACCCACCAATCAGAGTTGCAAAACGAGAGCCGATGCAACAGAAGCTTGTAATGCAGCATCTATTCTGTGGGGTGAATCTGTTTGGGTTGAGACAATTGATCTGTTACTGCAGTCAGAACCTGTGGAACATGGCAAACTAGTAGGGTGATATGACAGGAGTGGTTCCAAGAAAGGAAGTCTAAGATTCGAAAAAATTGATCCTTGGATCTAGTGCTTCCTCAATGAGTAGCACAAGACACCACCATGGAATTGTCAGAATAAAGCCTGAAGCCTGTACCCTTAATAAGCCCAGACTATGAGGCATTGCCTTTTAACTAGTGGTTACACGGTCGGTCGATGTGACCGATCCCATTTTGAGATAGGGTAAAATAACATATAAACTATAAGGATTTAGTGAAAAAAAAACGTTTGAAATGCATTTAGGAGGTTTTAGGGATTACACAAAGGTAATTTGAGGTTTTTGGGATGAAGAAAACTATTTTTAATTTTAACATGAAAATTACTTTGCACACTGACTATTCAAAACAAATACTCAATATATTTGTGGACAAATCTTTATTTTATTTCATTAAAAATACTTCACTAAGAAATATGACTTTTTGTATGTGAAAGACTTGTAATATTAACTGAAAGACTGCCAAATTTTGTGAAGATATATCCAATATATATTGAGAGTTACAAGTATTAAATTTATAAAGACTTTAAACGAGTACAAAGGTCATGTGACTTGGCCAAATTGACCGACCTCGTGTTGAAAGAGTTAATGAGCAAAAAAGAGCTGAAACATTGTGCAGGAATGCCTCACCATACGTTCATAGACCCTGGAATTACTGATTGTTAGCATAAGCACCCCATTGCTGAAGCAAGACATTTGTGAAGAGATGGAACTCTGGATGAGGTAGCAGCAGAGGAACCCATATCTTAGTATTGTCCCAACTTAACATCCCCTCAAGATCAAAGAATGATTCTGACTAAAGAAACTGGAGAATGCAGTGAATCAATGTTTATGATCCCTTGGTTGCACAAAAACCATTAAAAGGATCTTTTGTGCTCTCACCGTAAAGGCACGAGGGATTTGAGTGATGCCCACATTCCTAGAAGAGAAAGAACCATCTATGCAGTGAGAGAAGAAGGGAGTAAAAGTTGGGCTTCCTGTTCCATAGCATGGAGCTGGATGAGAGTCAGCTGAGCCTAATTGAGAGACGTCATGACAAAAAATACCCAGACTGATGATATATTGAATTGGAGCAAGAATAGATGTGTCAGCTCTGAGAATGAAGCCTGCCCTGACTGTTTTTGAAAGTAGAATCAGGATGTGATGTTCTGACAATTGATGAGACAATGCCAGCAGTAACCAGTTGTCTATGGAATAGTGTGTGCACAGTGCTATGGAATGGAGGTGATGAGAAAAAACTTGTATGATTCGGCAGAACCCATGTGACACCAATGCTAATCCAAAGGTAAAAACCCTGAACCTTTGTGTATAGAAAATGCTGATAGTGGTGGGACACCACCACTATAGCAATGTGCAAATAGGAGCTGACTAAAACAAACTTGGACATCCACAATCCTAGTAAAAATGTCAACTCAGATTGAGGAATGAGTAATTTGTGAACTTTGGAGAATTTAGGCATTGATATAGAGGATAAAAATCAATGACTGGCCACCAATTTCGTGTCTTCTTAGGCCCAACAACTGATGGAAATAAAATCCCGGAAGGACTAGCACGACTCTCTTACTATCCCCAGACAAACACAAACTCTGACAGCTCTGAAACTATGTTCCAAATCCTAAGGATCAAAGTGAAATGGAACCCTATAGGTAGGGTGGATAATAGTGGTTGAAGATGTGAACTGAATGACAATCCTGACTCAAGAATTTGTAGTGTTCCTGGATCCGTAGTTAAGGTTATCACACATCCAAAAATTTTTGGAGCCGAGCCTCTAAAGACCCCAAATTCATACAATAATCACCAATGTTGGTGGCAGTGATCCGACTGAGCAGCAGAACCTGTGAATATAGACAGAATCTATTCTGGGTACCAATGTACCGAGGGGCTGATGTCAGGGTTTGAGACCCTCAAACAGAGGTGGAACTACGACCCCTTGTAGGAGCCGATGAAATTTGAGACACCAACGACAACAAGGATGAAAGTAGATGCTGACAATGGAACCAATGTGCTTACTAACAATGATTCCAGCTTGTCATCAATGATGATGGTGATCCTAAGAGTCTTCCAACAAATTGTAGGCTATGGAAAACAAAACTTTGGATTTTAGAGTTGTAAGTCCATAGACTTACCCTGTCCCACCATAGGACAACGATCTACTAAGGTTAACTACAAACTTTTATTTAGAACCCATAAATTCGAGGAGCAGATGTACTATTTGAGAGTCAGAATATGCTTCCACTTGGCTGATGAGGCATAACTGTGTCCACTATGGAGAATCGAAACCCAGATCCCTGTGTTACAAGTCTGTAAACGCACCACTGTCCCACAGGGGGACTGAAAAGCCAACAGACTAAAAGAAGGCACAGTAAAAAGTGAATATAAATTATCTCCAGAATGTAGAGAATCACCTTGAATTGCAGCCTCAGAGCCCCCCAGACAAATGCCACAGAACCAAATATATGTATCAATCTCACTATGAATAAGATCACTGACAATCTCAACCAAGTGTGACCCCCTCCTCAATTGTTGTGCAATACTAGATATCAGAGGTAGGATAGGAGAGACCTGATTTGCCTCCATGCTGGAAATAATCATCCAGGAATTCATATTGTAAATTGGTTTGCCAATTGGAATTTTTTTTAAGAAAATCAACAAGGTAACACGGAGAACGCTCAAAGTATCTCCAAACGATCGTAGCACTGGGAAACCCGTTAGTGACTCTTTGTCGAGAAAAAATGATAACATTATCTCAATAAGGTGTTTATATACAGTACCAGGATAGAAAGCGTATTGGCATATGTGGAGAGTGTCACAAGACAAATAATGTCAAGGGCATTTAAGTGAGGTATAAAAGACTGGAGCAAGTGAGAAAAAAAAAAAACCAATGCTTAGATGGGTAAAGGAAGAAACCCTCTCAATTGAGTAATAGCTGTAAGTGTGAGAAGAGGTAAGTTTGTTTTGGAATTAAAAATTTAAAAAGTTATGTTCTGCTGACAGAACTGTACAAAGCTTACCATCTTCAGAACCTGTCATGATAATGGGAAGTTCAGGATGGAAAGACACAGCAGAGATGTTCTGTGCATGACCTTCCAATGTCTGGACACAAGTCTTATTCTGCACATCAGAGTAAATACAAAATCATTAATTAGTTGCATTCAAATCACTGTTGAAAAGAAAACATTGTTACAACTACATTTGACACTTTCAAATGGCAGTTACTAGCAAGATGAAAACTTGTATTTTACATCATTAAAAAGAACATTTTAATGTATATTTACTATTATAGCAACTATTACATCAAAGTACACCTAAATGTATGTTTCACTTTTGATCTAACAGTTCAGATGGGAATATAATAACCATGAAAATAGTTTCAGCTTAATCAACGTCAAATTACTTGCTGCTGTAGATATGATATCAATTATTTTAAATATTCTCATATGTTAGTATTTATAATGATAAGTTTAAGCAAAATAGAGATTTAAATGCCTATACTCATCTAATTATCTCATTTAATATTACTCAAAATTTCCACTGCTAGTCATAAGTTTCATTCACCAATGGCTAGTTGAAGCATGTATATCTTGGTAATACTTGTTAGTATTAAATATTGATAACTAGAAGTTATGCAATATGGTTGTCCCTGAACTTGGAAACTTTACAGAAAACTGATGGAATATTTGCTCTCCGTCACAAACAAGTACTACTCACTTGGTAATCCCATATCTTCACCAAACGATCATCTGCACCAGATATTAGGTAAGGCTTGTCTCCACCATGATAATAGTCAACACAATTCACTCCTTTCTCATGCCCTTCTAAAGTAAAATTAGGAGTGCTTGAACCCAACTGCCAAACCTGTAACATCATAGGGTTCATTGATGATCTAAAAAAAACTAATACTTTTTTTATGCAACAATAATTTCTTTTAACCAAAAACTGATATTAAACCTTGTCTACCTATCTATATCATAGATCTCTTTTCACATCTCAGTACTGCAACATAATTCAAACTTATACCTTACAGGGTGATTTCAAGCATAAAGCTTTTTGTCCAAATACCTTGTGGAATTATAGTAATTAAATTATAAGCATAATCAATGTTGATGATCTCAACTGTATTTGGAAATTTATCATTAACATACTTGTAAATTTTGCTTTCATAACAATACACACTTTTGTAAAGATATACTGAATTGTTAAATAAAAATGTGAAACTGCACATAGTCTTAAGGTACAAGATTAGTTTAGGAAAACTAATTCATTGACTCTATAGACATTAAACAGTATAACTAATTCATTGACTCTATAGACATTAAACAGTATAACTAATTCATTGACTCTGTAGACATTAAACAGTATAACTAATTCATTGACTCTATAGACATTAAACAGTATAACTAATTCATTGACTCTATAGACATTAAACTCTTAACAGTCTTATGCTTTCAGAAATCTTGTTGTTGTGTCTGGAAGTCTGCCAAAGTCGTATGTATTGTAGTTTTCTAGCTGTATTATTCTCCCAGACACACACAATGACACACTTAATTTTTCTTATGCCTACAGTTCGTAGATCATCCACATATTGTGGAAAACTGAATATTGAAACATTAAAAGACTTGCATCTTTCCCACACTTTAACTCTGCAGAAACCAATCACTGTCCTTACTAATTCTTGCAAAACCAATCACTGTCCTTACTAATTCTAGCAAACTTTTAAACCATAGATGACTATGTCACCTACTATGTTATCAGCATTACTAAATGTATATACATGAAAATAAATAGCATTATACAAGGTTGATCTGTCAATACCATACAGTACAAAAATATGTATACATCACAAAATGTTGAAACAAATTAATCATTCACATAATCAAATGTATTCATATAAATCTTTTTTTTTGCACTCTTAATATTCAGATCCTTACACTATGCTATCCAAGTAATGGTTCACCTTTTACATAATTCTAATATATGTTAACATAACAGACTGACCTTCACATAATTCTAATATATGTTAACATAACAGACTGACCTTCACAGTTCTATCCAATGATGCACTGGCAAATGTGTTGTTGTCTTTTGGATTAATCACTATCTCCATTACATAGTGGGTGTGTCCTTCAAACACTTGAGTACATGCCCACTGCTTCTCCCAGTTCCATAGTTTGATAAGCATGTCATCTAAAAAAATATATTAATTTTTCAGTTTCATTAACAATTCATCTGGAAAAAAAAACACTAAACAAATTGAATCAATACAGTATAACATCTCTAAGATGATTTATAGCTTAATTAGAATACTTATGTAAAAAGAATCAACAGGTTAACAAAGTTGCACATCAAGAAAAAAAATTTCAAAGCATTAATCAAAGCCCCACCAAAAAGGATAAACAGTTTAATTTGTACATAATTTAACCATACCATTAATGGCTGGGTGGGATCCACTCAGCTCGTAACAATGAAAGTATCCATGATAGTAATTATACATTGACTTTTGATAACGTACACGTATCTTTACAAAATTTTGCACATTACTGGTAAACATAACAAGGTTTTCATACATAAAATATCATGTTTTTAAATTAAGTATTAATATTTTTTTAATTAAAGATTTTCTCATGAAAGTTTTTCTTTCAGAATGTTGACTATCCAACATGCAATGAAATTTTGATTTTATGATTAAGAATACTTTTATGCATCATAACACTTTCAAATTTCACAAGCAAAATCTTTATAACCTCAATATAATTATCAAATGTTTTTTTTAGAAAAGACTATATTTTATCTGTTATTATCACTACTGTATCTCTGTATGGGTTGGGTCAATTTGACTGACCTTGTAACCACCATAAAAACTAGGAAATAAATATGCCTTTTTTGTTCTAGAATGACTACAAATTATATCACGAAGACACAAACGTTAAGTCTAAATAGCTTAAATTTCATAACATTAAATATTTATATATATTTATTATTTTTATTATATTG